CCTCCCTCCCTCCCTCCCTCCCTCCTTTCTCTCTCTCTCTTTCTCCTTCCTTCCTTCCTCTCTCTCTCTCTCTCGCTTTCTTTCTCTCTCCCCCCTTCCTTCCTTTCTTCTTCCACCCACCCTACCTTTCTAGTCACTTGTTGTCTTCGTCCACAATGGGCTTTGCTCCCTAGTAATAATAATAATACAAAAGATAGTCTAGTATCCAAAGTGTCTAGTAATAATACTTAACATATACAAAACCATTTGCAAAAGTGAAAGGGTCGGAATATTTTGGGATAGGACAGTTACCAAAAAACCCCACGGAGTACAGCATATTGTGCTGGAATCTCTGCTTCTTCACGTCTCAAGAGCAAGACTCGATCTGATAATTGTACTCAGACTTTCCCATGAAGTCCTCAGAAAATATGGTTATTGCAAGTTATGTATTGGTCCTTCTCTGTAGAAGATTTATGAAACTAACATAATATCCGGAAACTTCGTTGTAAGACTGCTTGACTTTGGACCCTCATTCCAATTTGATTTCACTTTTGCCAATGATTTTGTATATGTTAGGTGTTATTACTGGACACTTTGGATACTTGACTCTCTTTTGTATTTATTATGGTTTATTAGAATATACAGATACTTTACAATATTGGGCTTGCCTCTTACTAGAGTTTTTTTCACAGCCTTTTCTTTCATATCTTCTATAGTCCAAGGGGCTGTGGTTCTCTCCCTTTTTTCCTGCAAAGTATAAACATTCCCAGAAAGTGGAGGAGGAGGAGATTGGATTTATACCCCGCCCTTCACTCGGCGTCTCAGAGCGGCTTACAAACTCCTTTCCTTTCCCTTCCCCTCCCCACCACAGACACCCTGTGAAGTAAGTGGGGCTGAGAGAGTTTTTTCAAGAACTGCTCTTTCAAGGACAGCTCTTGTCAGAACTACGGCTTGCCCAAGGTCACCCAGCAGCTGCAAGTGGAGGAGTGGGAACTCAAACCCGGTTCTCCCAGATTAGAGGCCGCACACTTAACCACTACACCAGAGTAAGTCATGTGAGGCACAGTTGTGTACAGTGATATCCTGAAGGCCATACACCGCACATAGCAGTGTCCTGAAGCCCCCTGGGAACAGAACCACAGTTTCAACTATAGAGGCTAATTGCTATGGAAATTAAAGTATTATAGGTGTACCAGAGGTTTTGCAGAGTTTTAGCCAAGGACTGAGGCTCAATCCAGCCCTAATTCTGCGACAGGTGGTCCATTGTTGCTGAGAAGGTGTTTTAAGTTGGGAGTGGGTGGGCGCAGTCTGTCAGTGAGGAAAGGTCTGTCTTGCACCCATCTCTGACAGAGAAATCTCCTTATGTACAAGAGACCAAGGAGCTGCGGTGGCTCAAGTGGTTAAGACGCTGAACTGCAGGCTGTGGAAGGTCGGTAGTTCAGCAGTTTGAGACCCAGGTTGCCGCATGATGGAGTGAGCTCCCGTCTCTAGTTCCAGCTCCTGCCAACCTAGCAGTTCGAAAGCAAGAAATTGAAAGTAGATAAATAGCTCTGGGGACCAGTCCGGCACTGGTGATCTGGTCGTGTCCTTCCCTGGACTCGTTTAAGAATCTGCCCCGTTAAGGGCCAGTTTGGTGTAGTGGTTAAGTGTGCGGACTCTAATCTGGGAGAACCGGGTTTGATTCCCCACTCCTCCACTGAGCAAGGGAACCTTTACCTTTTTACAAGAGACCAATGTGTCGAGCTAATTGAAGCTGTGAGCAGTAGGAGACAACCAGTAGCGATCTGTTGTTATGACTCTGTCTTGGAACAAGTTGGTCGGCTCTGGGGACCAGTCCGGCACTGGTGATCCGGTCGTGTACTTTCCTGTACTCGTTTAAGAATCTGCCCCGTGATTTCTTTGTTATAAAAATTTCCAGAACGATTTCCTTCCTGCATGCTTCTAAAGAAGTGAGCCGTGACACTGAAAGCTCACGAATAAATGTCATCAATCTTTAATACGCTGTCACAGGACTTCTGTTTTTACCCTGCTCCCGTCGACAAACACATCTCTCCCTCTGGAGTTATTATGGGAGGTCCCGGGCCTGTCTTTCGTGGTGGTAAACAAGGAGAAAGCGCTGCGAGTTCGTTCTCGTGATGGTTAGGCGGGTTCTGATCCTCGGAGGCTGTCATTACAGGAGTATCCCGGTCTTTAAAAAAACAAAACACAAGAAGTCTGGCTATTCCTGTACTCAGGAATGATGACTTTTAGTCCTGTTTGCTGGTCATCTACCCTGATGTCGTCTACTTGACTTCTGCCGCGATGAGGTCAGGCGCTTTTGAGCTTTGTTCCTTTCTATGTCGCATACCTACTCTGCTGTTTTGTTGTAAGGAAGCCACAAAATTGTGAACTCCCTCCCACGCACACACGGTTGAACTTCTTTGGGGGGGAGAGGGTTGTTTCTTTCACCTAAAAATGAGCGTGAAACCACGTCTTCTGTAGCTATGCTTGTGGAGAGGGCCGCGGTTGGCCGCGGTTCCGTTTGGTGGCAAACCTAGGTTCGTCGCTGCTTGACTTGAAGGGGGCTTCTTTCTGTCAGTGAGGTTGTCAGTCTAATAAGCATCTCATTCCCAAATGTGTCCGTGCTGGGGTTTTTTTAATCGATGGCTCCCAGAGAAGCCGTCTTCTTAATGTTGCCTGGTAGGGTGCCGCTTGCCCGCCTGTGGCATTTTGAAACGCAAACTCCCTGCTTCTGTCTGAGTCCTTGTGTCAAACTTGGTTGGAGTTTCTCTTCCCCTCTGTGTGGCAGACGCCTGCGAAACTAACACGCTTTGCCGTTTAGCCGCTTATCCTTTTCTCCACTCCTTCTGCTTCTTGTCCGTGACAGATATCAACCTTAACTCTCCCAACAAAGGTCTGCTGTCAGATACGATGACGGATGTGCCCGTGGATAACGCCAGCAGCGCCGCCGCCGCCCCTCCGAGACCCCCTTCCTACAACGGGCTCACCGAAGCTGAGGAAGAGGAGTTAAAAGCCGAGTTGGTCAAGGTAAAAGAGCTGGTCTCTGCGTGTGTTTCACGTGTGACGCAAGGATCCGTGGAATGCCGCTTCGTATGGCTCTGAAGAGTTCTGGACAGCACTTTGGTTACAAACTTGGTTTTTTTTTTTAAGCTAAAGTGAACCAGACTGGTGGAGATGCATAGAATCAGAGGGCCGGAGGGGTCCCTAGAGGCCATCTAGTCCAACCCCCCTGCTCAATGCGGGATCAGCCTAGAGCAGTGGTGGCGAACCCATGGCACGGGTGACAGAGGTGGCACTCAGAGGCCTCTCTGTGGCCACGCGTGCCATTGCCCCAGCCAGGCCCAGACCATCATTAAAGTGTCGGATTCTCTGCCAAATAATTTTAAGTAGATGAAAGCATTTGGGATTGCTTTCCTTACTTTGTTTGGATCATCTTAAGTTAATGTATGAGTTGTTTTTTCTTAACTAAAACTTCAGTATTCAGGTTAAATGGCCGTGTTGGCACTTTGCGATAAATAAGTGGGTTTTGGGTCGCAGTTTGGGCATTCGGGCTCTAAAAGGTTCGCCATCACTGGCCTAGAGCATCTCTGACAAGTGTTTGTCCGGCCGCTGCTTGAAGACTGCCAGGGAGGGGGAGGAGGAGACCACCTCCCCAGGCAGCCGATTCCACTGCCGCACAACTGTCAAAAAAGTTTTCCCTAAGATCCAGCTGGTACCTTCCTGCCCTTAATCTAAACCCGTCATTGCAAGTCCTCTCCTCTGCTGTCAACAGGAGCAGCTCCCCGCCCTCCGCTAAGTAACAGCCTGTCATATACTTCAAGAGAGCAATCCTATCCCCCCTCAACCTCCTCCAGACTAAACATTCCTAAATCCGTCAGCCTTTCTTCATAGGCTGGGCTCGGTCTCCAGGCCCCCCAATCATCCTCGTCACTCTCCTCTGCACCTGCTCCATTCTGTCCACATCTTTTTCGAAGTGAGGCCTCCAGAACTGCACACAATACTCCAGGTGCAGTTTGACCAATGCAGTGTACAGCAGGACCATCACATCTTGCAATTTAGATGTTATGCCTTTGTTGATACATCCCAAGATCGCATTAGCCTTTTTTGTTGCTGCATCACACTGGCTGCTCATATTTAACCCATACTCCAAGATCTTGTTCACACACCCTGCTGCTCAGAAGTGTGTCCCCCATCCAGTATGCATGTTCCTCATTTTTGTTACCCAGATGTAGAACTCGGCACTTGCCCTTGTTAAATTGCATCTTGTTCACATCCGCCCACTTTCCCAGTGTGTTCAGATCTCGAGTCCTATCTCTATCTTCTCCCTTCTGCTTTTGTGAAAAGGACTTCTTAGTTTGTTTATTTCTTATTCTACTTCATTTGTGCCCCACCTTTCTCCCCAATGGAGGCCAATGTCATTCTCCTCTCCTCTGTTTTAGCCTCACAACAACCCTGTAAGATAGGCTAGACTGAGAGTATGTGACTGGCCCCAAATCACCCAGCAGACCAGGGCACTATGGCAGAGCAGGGAATCGAACCTGGTTCACCGAGATCCTACTGCATCACTCCAGCTGCTACACCACTGTCTCCCCTTAAGGCGCATTTCTCGTTGGTTTTAATGGTTTTAAAGGGTGATGTTTATTATGCATGCTTTAATTTACCGGCCAGCTTGATGGTCCAGGTGAGGGTAGAAAAGCAGGTTATAAATTTTGTTACATATATTAAAAAATTCCTGGGAAGTCAAATACCTTATCACACCTTTTAATCTTCCCTTCAAGGAGCACAGCGTATCATCTTTCTTCCCCTGTTTGGTCTAGTGGTGTAGCCAGTTTGGTGTAGTGGTCAAGTGCGTGGACTCTAATCTGGGAGAACCGGGTTTGATTCCCCACTCCTCCACTTGCACCTGCTGATGTGACCTTGGGTCAGTCACAGGCTCTGGCACAGCTGTCCTTGAAAAAGAGCAGTTTGTGTCAGAGCTCTCTCAGCCCCACCCACCTCACAGGGTGTCTGTTGTGGGGAGGGGAAGGGAAAGGAGTATGTCAGCCACTCTGAGACTCCTTCAGGTAGTGAAGGGCGGAGTATAAATCATCTTCTTCTTCTTCACAAGGAGGACTGGACCCCATAGGTTCTTCTGGATCTTTCTGTTGACTGTGTCATCCTTCTGGACAGTGTTGCCAGGGCGCGACGAGGGGATAGTGCTTTGTAGTGGCTCTGGTCTTCTTTGACAGGTTCCAGGGGGTAGAGCTGGGAAGACCCCTGCACTGCCCTTTGGCTTGTGGGTTCCCGTCTTGTTCCCATGATATTCAGCATATCATAAGAACACGAGAGAAGCCAATGTTGGATCAGGCCAGTGGCCCGTCCAGTCCAATGCTCTGTGTCACACAGTGGCCAAAAGCACCAGGTGCCATCAGGAGGTCCAGCAGTGGGGCCAGAACTCCAGAAGCCTTCCCACTGTCCCCCCTCTCCAGCACCAAAAATACAGAGCATCACTGCCCCAACATAAGAGAAGCCATGTTGGATCAGGACAATGGTCCCTCCAGTCCAATCATAACATGGCTGCCATACAAGGTGGAGCCAACCACCAGATGTCTGGAAGTAATAGAGAGCCAGTTTGGTGTCGTGGTTAAGTGCGCGGACTCTAATCTGGGAGAACCGAGTTTGATTCCCCACTCCTCCACTTGCACCTGGCTGGATGGCCTTGGGCAAGCTGTAGTTCTGATAAGAGCTGTCCTTGAAAAAGAGCAGTGTCTGTCAGAGCTCTCTCAGCCCCGCCTACCTCACAGGGTGTCTGTTGTGGGGAGGGGAAGGGAAAGGAGTTTGTAAGCCGCTCTGAGACTCCTTTGGGTAGTGAAGGGCGGGGTATAAATCCAATCTCTTCTTCTTCTTCTAATATGTAGCTCGAATAGTACTTCTTCAGCATTTTGAGCAGAAGCTCCGTTGAACAGCATGCTGTTTAAACTGCGCAGCCAATCAGAAGCCCTTCTAGGCAGGAAGAAGTTAACATTACAAAACGAACTCTAATGTGGTATATGATTACATCAGCTAGAATGACATATGCTCAATGCTGGAAACAGGAAAAAGTACCAGAGATCTGGGAATGGATAAAAAAGTTTAACTTTCATGGTTGAAATGGACAAAATGACAAGAAAGCTTAACAACCAGGAAGCAGAAGAATTTTTCAAAGACTGGAAAGACTTCAAAGACTATTTGGAGAAATATTGGGAGGTGAAGAACAACTTATTTAGCTTTGACAACCATTGATAGAAAGATATTTAGAATGTGTAAAAGTGTATAAGGATAATAGTGTTACCTAATAAGTTTAAGTAATAGATGAAAGGTGAAGGGAAATGGGAATCAAAAAATTTGGGAGGGAGGTTGGAGCACTGCGGGAAGTTAGAAGAAGAGGGGGGAAGATAGGGGTAGAAAAGGATATAAGTATCGCGGGTCCCCCTCTTGTATCCTAATAAAAATTGTTTAAAAAAAAAGAAGCCCTGCTAGGCAAAAACCCCACCCCGCCCTGCCCACTTTCTAAAACCACTTGGCGGGCGCTAGGAGAGGTGTTGGTGAGTTCCCCGGTGCCCATGGGCCCCACGTTGGGGACCCGTGTACCAGACGATCCACTAGCCTTATCTTCCGCCCACCCCTGCTTCAGTCTGTAAGCATTTAAGGAGGTCATCATTCGTAGATTCGAGCCCCTTGTGGCTGCTAGGTCATGCGTACAGTTACAGTATTATGTAAGTGGATGCTTTTCCTGGGAGGCTGGGCCACCGCAGCTCCTCTTCCGCACTGATCCCGTCTCTGCTTGCTCCTGCAAATCCCCAGGCCCCTCTCACCTCAGACGCTTCTCTTGCAGGTGGAAGAAGAAATTGGCACCCTGCGCCAGGTCCTGGCCGCCAAAGAGAGACACTGCGGGGAGCTGAAGAGGAAGCTGGGCTTGACCCCCTTGGACGGGCTGAAGCAGAACCTCTCGAAGAGCTGGCACGACGTCCAGGTCTCCAACGCGTAGGTGTTTGCCGCGGCGCATCTTCAGCTTACCCGTCTAAAGCACGGTGCTCTAGGGAGGCTTGCTGTCAAAGAGAAATGGAGATGCAAAACTTTGCCATTCTCCGCCCCCCCCCCCAAGAGAGAGAGGCGATATCTTGTGTCTAGAACGCATCTTAGCTAGGGAACATGACTCCAAAAGAGAGCCCGTTTGGTGCAGTGGTTAAGTGCACGGACTCTGATCTGGGAGAACTGGGTATGATTCCCCACTCCTCCACTTGCACCTGGCTGGATGACCTTGGGCAAGCCGTAGTTCTGATAAGAGCTGTCCTTGAAAAGGAGCAGTTTCTTTCAGAGCTCTCTCAGCCCCACCTACCTCACAGGGTGTCTGTTGTGGGGAGGGGAAGGGAAAGGAGTTTGTAGGCCCCTCTGAGACACCTTTGGGTAGTGAAGGGCGGGGTATAAATCCAATCTCTTCTTCTTCTTCTACCTCACAGGGTGTCTGTTGTGGGGAAGGGGAGGGAAAGGAGTTTGTAAGCCGCTCTGAGACTCCTTTGGGTAGTGAAGGGCGGGGTATAAATCCAATCTCTTCCTCTTCTTCTTCCTCCTCTTCTTCTTCCTCCTCTTCCTCCTGCTCCTTCTTCTCCTCCTCTTCCTCTTCCTCTTCTCTTGGCTTAGAGACCGCCAGTCACAGCAGGTAGCCCGATTCAGGTCAAAGGGGACTTTGAGGACTGGGATCGATTTGGTAACTGAATCAACAAAGCTTTAATGCATTGCAAATAGTCAATAATAAAAAGTTCCATTAAAACCAAAAGGGTTGCGGCCAAATGGCCATCCTCAGTGATATAAATAATTAAAATAACGCCTCATAAATTAAAAGTATTCAAAACACAGCATACTACATCTCTGAACCTAAGCTTTAAAACACACACAAGAAGTCAGGCCAGTTCGTTAACCGGATAAGTCCTACTCTATTATTAGAATAGATCAGGACCATTAAAATAATTCTTCAGATTAAGAACATATCTCCTCCTCTTCCTCTTCCTCCTCTTCTCTTGGCTTAGAGGCCTCCAGTCACAGCAGGTGGCCCGATTTAGGTCAAAGGGGACTTTGAGGACTGGGGTCGATTTGGTAACTGAATCAACGAAGCTTTAATGCATTGCAAATAATAATAAAAAGTTCCATTAAAACCAAATGGGTTTCGGCCAAATGGCCTTCCTCAGCGATATAAATAATTAAAATGACGCATCATAAATTAAAAGTATTCAAAACACAAAATACTACATCTCTGAACCTAAGCTTTAAAACACGCACAAGAAGTCAGTCCAGTTCGTTAACCGGATAAGTCCTACTCTATTATTAGAATAGATCAGGACCATTAAAATAATTCTTCAGATTAAGAACATTAGAGAAGCCATGTTGGATCAGGCCAGTGGCCCATCCAGTCCAACACTCTGTGTCACACAGTGGCCAAAACCCAGGGGCCATCTGGAGGTCCACCAGTGGGGCCAGAACCCCAGAAGTCCTCCCACACTTGCCTCCCAAGTACCAAGAATATAGAGCATCTATGCCTTCTGGCTAATAGCCACTCATGGACCTCTGCCCTTAAGAACACAAGAGAAGCCATGTTGGATCAGGCCAATGGCCCATTCAGCCCAACACTCTGTGACCCACAACGGCCAAAACCCAGGTGCCATCACACGGTCCACCAGCAGTGGGGCCAGAACTCCAGAAGCCCTCCCACTCTTGCCCCCCCCCCCAGCCCCAAGAATACAGAACCTCACTGCCCAAGACAGAGTGTTCCATCTGTGCCTTCTGACTAATGGCTTGTTGTTGTTCATGATCCAAATATCTCTATAAGTCTGGTCAGAACAAATCGTGGTTCTGTGGTGTGTATACCCACACTCAGGAAGCAAAATACATCCAGTTAATGAACTGGCCGTACTTCTTTGTTGATTAAACACATTCTAACTCATTAGAATTTATCCTATTATTCAGCTTCGGCTCAACCTCTCTGGTTACCTGGGTTGCAGCTTTTTCTTCCCCTTTTTTTGGTCTTGCGACTGAGACAGACCTGCCTGTGTGTGAAGAGCTGTTCCCCTGGATCGCAGCCAGTGGCACCGGCTGTCCGGGAGACTGAATGAAAACCGTGTGCTTTTTAAAAAAAATTATGTACTTAGATTTCTCTGCTTTCCCACTCAACAGATGTAACTGAGAACTGGGCCTCCCATTCTGTTCCCTGTATCTCGCTCAGCCGCTTGGTTAATCTCATATTTATAATGGTGCTTTTGCCCATAGGCGAGGTGTAAGTTTAAAGCGACAAGTGTCCTCTGCCGAACAGGAAAAACCAAGGATGGTGAATAGTTAAAGATCTAAAACTCAGTGCCATTTCCCCCGTCTCCAGTAGGGACGTGACCTAGATCCACCCCCTCGCTGTGGGCTGCTGTGGCTTAATTAGTTACCTACTGGAAACCGGATTTTCTGTTTTTCCGTTGGAATCCTTTTCTTTCTTTCTTTCTGTTTTTGAAAGTGTAATTGACCCCCAGGTTTTTGTTCCTAGTTATGTGAAAATCTCCGAGAAACTCGGAGAGTGGAATGAAAAACTGACACAGTCTGACCTGTGCGTTCCCCCCTCTTGGCTTCTGAGCGCGCTCTCTGTCTCGCGTTCTCTCTCCCTCTCTCTCTCTCTGTGTGATCTCGCTCTGCCCTCCGGCTAGTTCTGCCTCCTTCGTTTAGGGTCCAGAGGAACCCGGCTGCCTACTTGGGGGACAGAGGAAAGCCACCTTCTTGCTTGTCAAACTCAGCATTAAACCTTGGGCCACGTTCAAGGTTCAGCACGTCCTGCTGGCTTCCTTGACGTGTTCCTGTGTCGCTGAAAGGAAGCGTCCACTCAGACCTCTTGAGGACAAAACCGAACACCTTTCCTGTTAGATTAGCGCTCTGCGTGTACGTAGTGCTTCAGAGCCCAACAGAAGCTTGGAGACCTGTCCCTTTCTTGTTATGATTCAAGTGTCGGGAGAGAGCCACAAGGGCTTTTTTCATGCACTCAAGCTTCGGCCTGGAACTGCGCGTCCCAACCCTGCTTGGTGTACTGAAACCGTGGCTTGGCTACCGCTTCTCCTCTGGGAAGCAGTGCTGGGAGGCGTGGTATGCAGCAGCCGAGAAGGATGCTTCCCCGGGCGCTCCCCCCCCCACCGCCAAAACAAAAGCACTAGGTATGTCATAGCCTTGTGATCACATGTTGGTAATCCCAGTTTTGGGGAGAATGGCTGAGGACACAGGAAGCTGCTTTACACCGAATCAGAAATTGACGAACTGGGTTCGTGGTGAATAAAATCGTAAAAGACCAGCACTCGCCACAATGAGTAAAACCTTAATGTATTCTGCCAAAAGTTGTACATGTATCCAATGCATACATTACATTAACAGTTCTAATTTCCCAGATTTTTCACCATATATTTGAGGACCTTGCAACTATAGAACTTATTTTCGAACTGAAATCCTCAACGGTAACAAATTGAACACCGTATATATGGGATGTCTTTACAATCCAGTGTTCTAATACACTGGGGTTACTCTCTGTTAAATTGTACGCAATCTTCTTGAGAATGAATTCTCACTAACAATAAATTCTGGGTTCTTTATGAATGGATTTTGGTAGCTATACAGCTGAGGCACATTGAAGAAGAAGAGATCGGATTTTATACCCCGCCCCTTCACTCAGGAGTCTCAGAGCGTCTTACAGGCCTCGGCCACACGGGCAGGAAAATGCGGGGGGGAGGCGTGGCTGTTTGCCCCGGAGCAAACTTAACACGCAACTGCGCGATCAGGTGTCGGGTTGAGGTCCCGTCGAGCTCCCGTGGTTAGGGGGGAGGTGCTGATCACACGACGTGGCAAAGAAGCGGAGCAGCGTGGCAAACGGGCTTGTTTTTTTTTTTAAACTGAAATGTGCGCATGCTCCGTTGGGTGCTTGTGCGCATCCGTGGAGACTTGGGGGGGGGAACCTTTTTGAGAGGGGACATGGGCGGGCGCCGGAACTACCACCGAAAATGCGATCAGACGCCCACCCTTGCCCCGCGGTTTCCGGAAACTAGTACCTCCGAGGTACTAGTTTTTTACCCCGCATCTTCGGTGGGAAGCCTCGGGTGCACCATGGGAGCTCCACGCTTCCCAGATGTGGCGGTGAGATCGCGCCCGGAAAATCCGCCTATCTTCCGTCTCTCTAGCATGCCTAATGCTCCGTGTGACCGAGGCCCCAGTCTCCTTCCCCTCCCCACAACAGACACCCTGTGAGGTCAGCGGGGCTGAGAGAGCTCTTTTGAGGACTGCCCTTGAGAGAACAGCTCTGAGAGCACTTGTGACTGACCCAAGGCCACACCAGCAGCGATTGTGTACAATTTAATAGAGAGTAACCTCAGTGTGTTAGAATACGGGATTATAAAGATACTCCATATATGCAGTGTTCAATTTATTCCTGTTGAGGATTTCAGTCAGAAAATAAATTATATAATTGCAACATCCTCAAACATATGGTGAAAATCTGGGAAATCAGAACTGGTAATGTAATGTATATATTGGCTACACTGTACAACTTTTTGGCAGAATGCATTAAGATTTTACTCCTTGCGCTGAGTGTTGTTCTGATACTGAATCAGGGCATCAAAGTCAGCCTTGCCTACTTAGACCGGCTTCTGCTCTCCAGGGTCTCAGGCGGAAGTCTTTCACTTCACCTACTCCCAGATCCTTTTAACTGGAGATGGCGGGTAGTGACGCTCTGTATTCTTGGTACTTGGGGGGCAAGAGGGGGAGGGCTTCTGGCATTCTGGCCCTGCTGGTGGACCTCCTGACGGCACCTGGGGTTTTTCTTGGTGGCTGTTGCATGACCAGTGTTGGACTGGACGGGCCATTGGCCTGATCCGACATGGCTTCTCTTCTGTTCTCAACCTGGGCCCTTCTGCATTCCAAGCAGACGCTCTCTCACCTAGCCACAATCCCTTCTTTCTCTTCTGCACCACACATCTCTCTTTCCCAGTATCTTAAGAACATAAGAGAAGCCAATGTTGGATCAGGTCAAAGGCCCATCCAGTCCAACACTCTGTATCCCACAGTGGCCAGAACTACCAGTGCCATCAGGAGGTCCACCAGTGGGGCCAGGACATTAGAAGCCCTCCCACTGTTGACCCCCCCCCAAGCACCAAG